GACAGACAGAGAGACAGAGACAGAAAACAGAGACAGACTGAAAACAGAGAGAAAGGGAAGAGACAGAGAGAAAAGAAAATCATATGTGAATGAAATAACTCAGGCTAAGACCACATATGCTCAAAGAGTTCAGTTCTAAGTACATTCGACAAGTTGTAGCTCAAGGGGATCCAATGCCTTCTTCTGGGCTCTGAAATCAACTGTATTCATGGGCACACATGCAGTCACACATGCACGCACATGTAGCAACAATTAATAAAAAGGAGACCACGAATTTGACAGCGAGAAAGGAGGGGTGTTTAGGAGGAAAGGAAGGAAGAAATGATGTAATTATATTATTTCAGATTATTTCAGAATATAATAATAATAATGTCTAACATTTGAGAGTGCTTGCTGTTCTTTCAGATGACCTGAGTTGGGTTCCCAGCACACAAGTCAGGAGGCTTTTAACTGCCTGTAACTTCAGCGCCAGGACTCCCTCCCCCCATGCCTTCAAGGACATCTGCACTCATGTTCACTTACACACATGCGCAAATGAATAAACAATAAAATAACAATAATAAACCTAATAAATAATAAACAAAAAGAAAAAATGCAAGGTTTGTGTGACGCACGGGGTTAGAAAGAAAACACTTAAAAATGTATGCAGTTGTCACTTGCACAGTAAGAAAACTACTCAATTGCCAGCAGCCAGGGGGACCACATGGGCCATGCAGACATTCTGTTCAGAAGTCTTGGAAGGATGTTAGAAACATACAAAAGTAACAGAAATGACAGCGCCACTGGTCAGGTGCCAGGGAAGGGCAGAGGCAGGGGAGTTCCAAGGCATGGGCTGTGAAGTAAACACAGATCTATCCCCTAGCTCCATCCGTGGGGAGCTGAGAGGCTCCGAGGAGGACCCAGGTGCAGACATTTGCCTGTGACTTTCTCAAAGGAGTTGAAAAGGCTCCTGCTGCCTGCTTGGCAGCCACAAGCTTTGGGGTCTATTCTGCTGATGGCTGAAGTTCAACCTTTCCAGCTCTAGTCAGGCAGATTGGTGAGATAAGAGAGTTTCTCGTGTTAGGGCATGTCATTCCACACACAAACAGTTGGAAAGGGGGGAGCGCATACTCCGGAAGCCTGCTCCAGCAGAACATGTACACTGACACTGGCCACATCTCGCTGCTCTGGTGCATCTGTTCTGCTCCTTGAAATTCCCAGAAGCAGCCTTCCATGAAGGATAGACTCTGAGAAGTCAGGTGACTTGCCCAATTTTGGCAGCTGCTCTTGCAGACTTGGATTCTTCCCCCATCCCCCGGCCCCCTTCCCTTTTCCCTCTCGCTCTAGCCCCACTTACTCCAGCCCAAATGTCTTTTTTTTCTCATTTATTTTACTTATTATATGTAAGTACACTGTAGCTGTCTTCAGACACCCCATAAAAGGGTTATGTCATTATGGATGGTTATGAGCCACCATGTAGTTGCTGGGATTTGAACTCATGACCTCTGGAAGAGCAGTAACTGCTGAGCCATCTCACCAGCCCCGCAGACTTGGATTCTTAATGCAGGCTAGTTTGACTTTAAGTTTAGTGCTTTTAAGCCACCATACATACCATCTGCATATCTCATCTACACCAGCATTTTTCTATTTATTTATTTATTTATTTATTTATTTATTCATTCTACATGCAGGTACATGCCTAAATGTGTGTGTGTGGGGGGGTGCACACATGCATGAGTGTGCACACACATGCATGCTTGTGAAGTCAGAGGACATCTTGTGGGAATTGTTTTTTATTTTTCCTTTGCTATCTTAGTCCTAGGTTGTAGGACCTGATGGCATGAGCCTTTATATCCTGAGCCGTCATATCAGCTCTGTGTCGGTATCTGCATTTGGGGAAGCTTGCCCCTCTACCCCATCAGAACCCCTGAGCAAACTCTCTTTGACTTTGTTTCCTCATTCACCCAACAGTGTGCATCTTTTATTTGTTTATTTTGGAGACAGTGCCTTTCTACTTAGCCCAGGCTATACTCTCATGACCTTCAGAACTGGGACATAGGCATGAGCTGCCACATTCTGCTCCCAGTGCCTTTTTTTCTGTGTGTGTCTCAGTCACCCAAATGTCTGTTCCTTCCCTGACATCCCTGTAGTTTCTGCTGAAGCAGGGCATGTGATTATCACCCTTTATCTGTCCTTAGAGTCTTCAGGTGCTCCCTTCTCACTCACTCATGTCCTCCACAGAGAGGCCATCAAGAAGAGTTTTCTGTGAGACAGTCTAGTGGAAAGCCTCCCTTAACCTTTGGCATTCACATGCAGACACTGTTAAAACAATGAGACAGGCTCTTCTCAGGATCCCCCCAAAGGAGAGTTTTTGGTTCCTACAGGCAGCCCTCTTGTGATCTGTCAAGTGGTGTCATGAGAGTTCAGATTAGCTTTTGTCTGGGTTTCCTATAGATAAGAAGCCTTGACTACGCTACATGCCTGGCCTCCAGAGAATGCTTTTACATCTCCTTTTCAAAGTATCTGCTGATAGCCCAGTATTGCCAATGGTGGCACAAACCCATTTACACACAGGAGGATGACACAAGAAGAGGGGTACTTTAAGGTCATATTTGGCTACATAGCCATTTCCAAGCCAGTCTGGACTATGTAAGACCCTGTCTCAAAAAAACAAAGAAGAGGCTGGAGAGATGGCTTAGCAGTCAAGAGCACTTGTTGTTCTTCCAGAGGACCTGGGTTAGATTCCCAGCACACACATGACAATTCACAAGCATACATAAACCCAGTTCCAGGAGCTCCAACACCCTTATCTGGCTTCCTCAGGCATCAGACACACACACACACACACACACACACACACACACACACACACACACGGGACTCAGACATACATGTGGGAAAATACTAATATACATAAAATAAATAACAATAGAGATGCAGATACCCAATACTGCCTGGCAACACAAGATACTTGCATATAATCAAAGAAAGGAAACACGCAGGTGGCCTCAAGAGAGATACAATGTTAAAAAATATAAGTAACCACTCAGACAAGCTAACAGCGGGAAGGTGCACTCCACCTTAGAGGCAAGTGTGCACTTCACCACTTCACAGGCCAGCCAGACCTGCCGCCTGACTCACTAGGTTCTTCAATACTGTTCAGATGCAGAATCAAATATGACCAACCACTTCCTCATTCTGTGTTGTGGGCATTGGTCGCCATTGGCCTGCTCATTTGGAAAAACCAATTCCGTCTTCCCACAACTGGCACATGAATTTGAGATGGGTCAGAACTGTTGCTAATTTATTCACCTAGCTGAAGAATTTCAGAACAGCTGAGGACATTTGAATACCTTTCTTTCTGACTCATGATCAGGCATCTGACTCAGAACACTGGAGGCCAGGGTGGTGGTGGTGGGGATGTGTGTATGTGGCTGCTATCTTCCCCCATCGCTGATCCAAATCTACCTGCTATGTAGAGCATTTTGAAAATCTGAACTGTTCTCTTTGCCCAAACGTTGATTTTAACAATACCTTCACGTAAGGAAGTGGTCTTGAGCAAAATCCCCATAGGTGTGCCTTCTCTGGGCAGGTAAAATACAAACATCTACAAGTTTCATGAATTCCATTGAGGAAGCAAGTCCACACATAAAATAGAAAGCATCCAAGACAGGGTCAGAGCTTTTAATAACATTCCAACCAATTGTCCCTGGAGGCTGGGCTGGAAGACCATAACCAGCGAGGAACCCAACAACGGCCTTTGGGATGTGTCACAGCCATAGACACTTCTGCTCAGATGCCACAGGGAACCCTTGGAGAGAGGGACCCAAATTCTTACTTGCTCACAAAACTGGGATATAATATCAATTTCATCGAAAGACAGATATAAGTGGCCAGTGGGTTCATGCTGTGAGCATGGGCTCTGAAGCACCAAACTGGGCACTGCTGCTTACCCATGCTTCCACAGGGCAGTGCTGATACAAGAGAACCTTCTCCAAAGCCTCTCGAGCAATGACAACATGGAATCTTCCTGATTTAAAGAGCAGTTTTTATTGCTTTCCGAAACACTGAAAACCAGTGATTACACACAGCCCAAGAGAGTAACAATAAAATGTTGAACAATGTTGCTATTCTAAAAAGGAAGCAATTCCTTAAACGCCTCAGTCGCTTCCTCAGACCAACAGTAGAAAAGGCACAGAAATTCACAACAAACCCAGACCAAGCACCACTTTGGTCACAAGGTGAATGAATCCTTATGTCTGAAAAAAAAAAAAATCCGTCCCACTAAATTTAGAAGTTCACTGAACACAAGCAGCTGTCAGGTAAGTGGTGGTGAGGTAAATAAACTTCATATTTTCCATTTCATGTTTCTAGAATAAAGCAGGTTTCTAAATAGCCTGACATTTGTAATTTGACAATTGTCTTCTCACCTTATTCTTAGTAAGTACTCATAAGCCTTTGGCTGGCACACAAAACTCTAGATACCTGTTTCAAATGGTAAAGTGTATTTGAGGAGAGGAATGCACCCCGTCAATCCCAGCACTCTGGGGGCAGAAGCAGGTGGATCTCTGTGAGTCTGAGGCTAACACAATCTACACAGTTTTAGGTCAATCAGAACTACAAAGTGAGACTGTCTCAAAAACAAAACTAAAGTGTGCACATATATCTGTACACACACACACACACACACACACACACATTGAGTACACATTAAAATCTTAAAGGCAATTTTACATGTTTTTAATATGGATGCACATTCTTGTACATAAGGCTAAACTGCCACTGAGCTAAGTAAGCCCCATCGCTGTTTCATTTTGAACGGAAGGACAGCCATAGACAAACCTAGCAGCAGCCTAGGGGGTGGCTAATGGTCCTGACCAGAGACAGAGATCCCAGGAGTCCTACAGCACTGCTTCCTAGCTCTTCCACTGGCTAACCCAGAAGCTGGGATCCAGAAAAATGGCAGAGGCCCTTCCTCCTCATCCTGGGCGACATGAACTGGGGTAGAATGTGCTACTTACACTGAGCGCCCCTGGTCTTCTGCTCCTGGGTCTGCGCAGTGCTGGAGACTGTGTTCTTCTGGAATTGCTTCCTCTAGTTCAAGTAGCAAAGACTTGCCTCATCCACAGGCCCCATCCTGATCCCCTGACCCATATGCACAGGTCAGCCTGGGTTTGAGAAGCGTGAAGGGCACTGGGTGCTTGCTCTTAGGCACAGGAAACTGGAAATGTGCTTTTCTTCTCAGGGAAGTGATAAGCGTAGGCTCAACTTCTGCAATTCTGTTTGCACGGGCACGGCAGGCAGGCCTAGCTCCTTCCACCTCAGAGAGTCCTGAGAAGCAAATTAAGCTTTCTGTACTGTCCTCTTTCACCAGCAGGCTGTTAACACCGCCTCTTCTGCACCCCTGCACCCTTGCACCCCTACACTTCCTCTATGTGCACTCATGGCCAGCCTCCTGGGACAACTAGACAGTTCCTTTTTTTTTTCTTTTTCATTTTTTTTCTTTTTGTTCCTCCTCCATCTTTGCTCCACATTTTAAGGATATCTGAGGTGATTTCCCTGAGTTTTATGTTGCCAAGGATTCCGGACTCCCAGCTCCATGTGCCCTCTGGGCTGTCTTGTGGAGCCTCTTCTTAGTGGGCGCACATTGCAGCTGCTTAGCAATGTCATATTGCTTCCGGCTGAAGTTGAACTTTTTAAAAGTAAAGGAGACAGAGAAAGAGAGAGAGCGAGAGACACCCTGAGCTTTCAGTGACACTTCAATCACAAGTCACTCTGAGGAACTGTGAGGAACTCAAACTTCTTTAGAGAATACCGGAAAAAGTAAAAGCATTTAGAAACAGGCTCTTAAGTAAAACAACCCCACAGCTCACGGTCAACATCCTGCAGGCAGCTCCCTCAGGCTATTCCGGATGAGCACGTGGCATGACCGGCTCCCCACAAGCTCGCTGTGACACCTGCAATACACTTGTAGGATGCTCTACACTGGGAGCAGGGTGACACGTTCAGTTCTTACACACCAACACCAGCTATTCAGAGGAAAGTGGGTGTGGAGGGAAATGAGTCTTTGTTTCGTGACCTTGACCTTTCTCCTTTGGACTGTCAATCATAGGAAGCAGGAGGAGCATTAGTACCGGAAGTGTCTCCCCAACACAGCTGGAAACTCACTGGTTATTCCCACTGTGAACTCAGAGGTCATTCTTTACCTCTTATCTCCCACCACGGATGTCCTTGAGCCCTTGGCACTCTCATTTTCACTCACATAGCCAGCAAGACAAATCTGTGGCATACCGAAGAATCAGTGGTTACCAGGAACAGCTCGAGTACAAACCTTAACCCACCGGGACCATCCAATTTAGAAGGAGGGTCAAATCAGGGGGAAGACAATATCAGTCTCAGGCCCCTTGCAGTTGAAGCCCCACCGTGTGCCTACATAAACCAGCACTGCTTATAACATCAGAAGCAAGAGGGGCCACAGCCCTTTCAGCATCATTCTGTAAGCAGAGACATTCCCCCAAAGCTGCCCACAAAGCACCTACAGTCGCCTGTGCCCTATAATGTCGCTAAAACAATGTGAATGATGTATGTTGAAATCTATGCTCTTAAATATTTATAGTACTTTTTTAAAAAGCTAAAATTCTTTTGAGATAGGATCTCAAATAGCCCAGGCTGGTCTCTAATTCCCTATGTAGCTGAGAACTTCTGGTCCTCCTGCCTCTACCTCCTTAGAGTTGTGATTACGTGTATACACCACTGTAGTGGCTTGTGTTCTCGTGCCGATTTATGTTACTCAGAAACCTATTTGCAGTGTCCTGTATGTGAGCTAAAGGAAACCTGTCTCTAGCTGGCTCTGATTGGTAAATAAAGTTGCCAGCGGCCAATGGTTGAGCAGGGAGACAGAGGCGGGACTTTTAGGATTCCAGGGCAAGAGGAGAGAAGAGGGGATTCCACCATGAGAAGGGCATAGGACAGATCGAGCTGCAGAGGAGCAGGAGGGAGAGCCAGCAGAAATGTAGGTACAAGGAAACCCCAGAAGGTCTGCCCAGAAGGATCTAATGCAGCAAAGGTAAAATATATATATTTAATAAGTGTTAACTCAGGAATATCGGAGGGGAGTGTGTGCTAGCCTTGGGGAGGTTTGAAGTGCCATCGAGCTAGTCAAGGCATATTAAAAATAAGCCAATGTGTTTGAAAAGCCAATGCGCACTGCCAGGAGTCCAGAGCAGAGTTCTAACTATTCACTGCTACAACCACCAAGTCTAGTTTATTCAGTACAAGGACTGGACTTGAACCCAGGGCTTTGAGCATGCTAAGCTGGCATGCTGCCAGCCAAGCTGTGTCTATAGCCCAAGATCTATCCTGATACCGTTTGTGTGTATTATTATTATTATTATTATTATTATTATTTTGTTTTTTCGAGACAGGGTTTCTCTGTGTAGCCCTGGCTGTCCTGGGACTCACTCTGTAGACCAGGCTGGCCTCGAACTCAGAAATCTGCCTGCCTCTGCCTCTCAAGTGCTGGGATTAAAGGCGTGTGCCACCACTGCCCGGCATGTATGATATTGTTAACTACATCATGTTAACTTCAGAGTATATATGGTACTGTTAGATACAGTGTGTACTGTATGGTTAAATATCATATATGGTATCATTAACTACAGGTACTATGTCATGTAGCAGATGACAGGAAGTCCTTGTCACGCATGGCCTAAGCTTTCTTTACACCTGTTGGTAAGTAACTCATTCCCTTCCCCTCAGCCTGTAGCCACCCTACTCTCTGCTTCTGGAGGCTTTAGCTGTTTCAGATTCCTCATAGGGATAGAATATGAAGTCCCCATCCTCTGTGACTAGTGGCTTTCTTAGCCTAACATCCTCTGGGTTCATCCATGCTGTCATATGTGGTAGAACTCCCTTAAGGTTGAATAATATTGCTTACTGATACATTTTATCCATTTCTCTGAATGGACTGCCGAGAAGCCCCCATGTCTTAGCCGCCTCCTTACCCCCATCCATTCACAGACATCTGATACATTTTATCCGTTTCTCTCATTTCTCTGAAGCCTCCATGTCTTTCTTAGCCTCCTCCTTACCCCCATCCATTCACAGACATCTGGGCTGTCTCTGCACCTTGCTTTTCATGAAATGCAACAGTAAACTTGTGCCAGTTTTCTGTGCATGCATGTATGTGCACTATATGCGTGTCTGCTGCCTACAGAGGCCAGAAGAGGGCATCCGATCCTCTGGAGTTAGAGATACAGATGATTATGGGCCACCATGTGGATGGATGCTGAAAACTGAACCTGGGTCCTCTGTGAAAGCAGTAACGGCTCTTAACCCCTGGGCCATCTCTCCAGACCATCTTTGCTATTTTAAAGCCAATGTGTGTGTGTGTGTGTGTGTTTTAATGTAGTCCTTAGTGTCCCTTATATATTAAAATATGATATATGATTCTCCAACATTTCTCCCATTCTGAACACCATGCTTCACTTAATCTCGCTTATTGTAGACGATTCTAAGTTTGATATTTTCCCACTTACCGGTACCTGAACTTTTGGTATCTTACCCCAGAAATCTTGTCAAAATAGTCCTGCTGTCTTCTGGGTGTCTTAGAGGTCCAGATCTTATATACAGTAAGTCTTAATTTAAGTCTTTCAAAGGGTTGACTTCTGCACATAGTGAAAGATGCTGTCAGAACCTGCCTTCCCTGTGGAAGCACCCCTTGTCTGGAGAATTCTTCACAGTCATGTCAGAGATGAGCTGTGCACACATGTGTGGGGGTTTTTTGTTTGTTTTGCTAGACTCTTTGTTCTGCTCACCTGTCTGTGTGTCTTGGGGCTACACAGTTCTGTGTTTGGTTTCTACAGTTTTGTAACCATTTTTGAAATCAGGAAGGGTAATTCCTCCACCTTTCTTTCTCAAGCTTTCAACTAGTCAGGTTTTTTGTTTTGTTTTGTTTTTTGTGTTTTATTTTTTTTTGTGTGGTGTTTCCACAGGATTTTTTTTTAAATTGCTACTTCTATAAAACTTCCACTGAGATGGCATTGCATTGAATCTATGAATGACCTTGATCAATATGGACATTTTATTTTAATTTTTTTTTTTTGGTTTTTTGAGACAGGGTTTCTCTGTGTAGCCCTGGCTGTCCTGGAACTCACTCTGTAGACCAGGCTGTCCTCGAACTCAGAAATCCGCCTGCCTCTGCCTCCCAAGTGCTGGGATTAAAGGCGTGCACCACCACCGTCCGGCAGCATTACATTTTCTAATTCGTGAGTGTCACAGACTGTTTATCTGTACCTTCCTTGTCATATTTAAGAGTTTTCAAGAACATGCCTTTCACTTCCTCAAACTTATTCCTATTTATTCTTTTGTTTTTCAGGCAGGGTCTCTCTTTGTAGCCCTGGCTGGCCTGCAACTCATTATGTAGGTGAGTGCCTCAGACACACAGACACATCTGCCTGCCTGTGTTTCTCAAGTGCTTAAAGACCACCCACCCGCTCCCTGCACCACCACACCTGCTCCCTGCACCACCATGACCCTGGCTCCCTGCAACCCACCCCACAGCCTTCTCCCTGCACCCTGTTCCTGCTCCCTGCATCCCCGTGCCTGCTCCCTGTACCTCCGTGCCCAGCTCCTACATCATGTCCCACCAGTGACTGATGGGAGGGAAGCCCCCTGCTGTCACTGTATTGCTGGCTATCCTACTTTCCCACTCCCTTCTTCCAGTGTCTGCTTCACAAACCTTGGTTCTCTGATGTCAGGTGCACAGACATGTAAGATTATATAGCACCTTGGAGAACTAATACTTCTGTTATCTAACACCCTCATGTGACAGTCTTTGCCAGACACAAATACCACCACCCCTGCCCTCTCCAGCATCTCTCTTCTGAGTCCTTCACTCCAAGCTTAGTGTGACCTCAAGTCTCCTGCAGACAGCGTATAGTTAGATCTTCTTGCTTTTAAATGTTTCAGCCTGTCGACTGTAGAACTTAACCCACTTACATTTAAAGAAAATATGGATAGGGAAGTTGAAAGGCCACGGCCATTTTGTCATCTCTTCTTGCACCTTGCGATCCTCCAGACCCTCTTCTCCTTACTCTCCTTCCTCTGAGGTTTGCTGATTTCTTTGCCTTGGTGGCGTATTTCTCTTCCCCATGTATCATCAATGACATCAATCACGCTGGACTCAGTCCCTTCTCTTCTCTGCTTTTTATTGCCGATGTTACAATTTACGCCTTTTATTTAGTAACATAGTTTGCTTTTGGTTTTTGTTATTTACACACTATAGTTAAATGACTTACCCACTACCACGCCCACATTCTGAAGCCACCTCTTATCTTTGCCTGCTATACTTCCTCATGAGAGGCAGGATGACAGGGCCAGTCTCCTCAACCGCTGCTCCTGTCTTTACTGTCTGCTTAGATTTGTTGGCACTGTGTTTTGGTGCTTTTACACACTGGATGTGTGCACAGTTCCTGCCGGGAAATGTGCTAATAGTCTCTCAGAGTCTCTGTGTATGTGAAGTGTCTCTCGGTGCTCAACCTTGTCTTCATTTGACAATATGACCATAACATGTGCCCACATGGATTTCCTCGGATTCATCTTATTTGAGGTTAGATAGGCATCTCGAATCTGGACACTTCTTTGTGCTCATCTGTGAAGCAGTTGGTATACTGTTTCTTTGAATAGTTTTTGTTTCTTTCTCTCTACCTCTGTCTCCTTGTCTCTCTCCCTTAGACTTAGAAACAGATGGCACTCTACACAATAATACCCCATAAATCCTGCAGCTCTTACACACGGCCCCTTCTAACTGGGTAATCTCT